ATTATGTTATTTTACATTTGACGTGTCAGATCACAGTCTACTTATGTAAATGTAATGATATTCTAGAAAAACAGTACACAACTGTAAACTACACAGTAAAGTACTTTGACATTACTATTTTTTGGAACAGTGTAAGAGATGGGGTAAACAAGTCTCTGCAGCTTTCTTCCTAATTTCTTTGCAACTTTGATAAGAAACAATAAATATTGTTGTGTATGTGAAAACTATGAAGAGCATAGGAAGTATTACAAGATCTAGTAAACTAACCACACCAAAGACAGTAATTAATCTTGATCTTTGACACTGAAGAGTGTAAACTGCATTATTACAAAATATTCCTTTTATATTAGAGTCCCACAATTTAGCTTCAGCACTCGCTATTGCTTGGACAGCAATATGACAAGCAGGTACAAGCCAAGCCAAAACAAGGAAAATACTCACAGTAGTTTTTGTCATGATAGTTTGATATTCCAGAGGTTTACATATAGCCACATATCTGTCATAGGCCATGGCAGTCAAGAGAGGTAACTCTGAACCACCTAGAGTGTAAAACATAAAAAAAACTGAAAGAGACAGGTTGAATATGTTGTGACTTGTTTTTCAGATAAAAAGTCAATCAGAAGTTTTGGGTACATAGTTGTGCTGTAAAGAACAGAGTTAAGTAGCAAGGCTGCAATGAAAATGTACATGGGCTCATGGTGGTTTTTATGAGTAAAAATTAAATACAGAATAGTAGAATTAGTGCAGATTATTAGAATATATAATGTAAAGATAGTAAAAAATAAAATATATCTGTACTTGTTAATTTCCGTGTACCAGTCCAGAGTTAGAAAGGTAACATTTAACTCTTTCTCCATTATTGTTTTCAAAGACAAAACATTTGCTCATAAAACAAATTGCATAACAACTATTGAATAGAAAACTTTTAGAATTATGCCAACATGCAACAGGCGTTTTTCTGCTTTTCATAAAGGTCTCTGAACTTAAAATATATCTTGGAGAGCATTCATTACCAAGATTCATACAGTTATTCATACAAGTCTGTGGCAGGTTTTTATTATTTTGCTTCATCCTCAAGGGAGGGAGAGTTCTGAAACCTCACTGTTCTGCCTTTTTGTAATTGATGCTTTGGGAATGTACAATTATACCTTCCATTCTGTTCAATGTGAACATTCAGGATGGAAATGCTCTCCTTATCTTCCTTAATCTCTCCTTATAAGTATAAAATTAAAAGTAATAGAAGAGTAAAAAATAAAAATGAATAAAGTCAATAAGAACAGTTGTCTCTCATACAGCAGTTTCAAGGTGCCAACATATGCTTTCAACATACAATAAATGTTGTTCTCAAATCATTGATTAGGTGACTTCATAGCAGTATTCATGTTGGTGATGTTCTTTGTGCAAAAACTGTTCAAAAGTCTTCTTTTGAGGACAGAAATTCTTATACAAACTAAATGCAAAAATAAATAATGCAATTTGCATATGACCAGAACTATAAAACAGTGGGTTATTTGATTATGTTCATCAGTGTGACAGCCTAGGGGGAAGAAACTCTCTTTTCTTTTTGTTTTGAAATATTCAAGTGTTTTAAATGAAAATACATGTCACGGGTTGCTCTGAGGATCCACTCGCAGGACTCCGGAGTGTGTTATAACAGAGACAGTTTATTCACAAAAATCTTCACCAAGTGTATTTACAGGCAGTGCAAGGACAGTGCTATATACAAGATGTGCGAGGACGGGTTCCAGGGCTCCAGGGAAAACAAGGGGATCACAGACACGCTCACGCCAACCTCTCTCCGCTAGTGACCAGCCACCTCTTACACGCTCCACACGGGGAAACACGGGGACGGGTCCGGGGAATCTAGAACAGAGAGACAAATGTTACTTTCTGAGGCGGAAGTGTGGGAAACTAGGGCTCGACGTGTACTGACAGGAGTCTTCAAAACAATCCAGCGTTGAACAGCTGATCTCCTCCTTCTGATATACCAGCTGGTCTGATGAGGGCCAGGTGTGCATGATCCGGGAGGGCGTGGGCCGAGGGCGTGAACCCGCCGTGAGTTCCGCCCCGGCAAAACAGGGGAGGGGGAGAGAGATTGCTGATCAGTGCCTTGCCGACCCCGCAGGTCGTGACAGTACCCCCCCGCCAACGGGAGCCTCCTGGCGACCCCCAGGCTTCCCAGGGTGAGCCACATGGAACCGCCGAACCATGGCCCGGTCCAGCAGAGCCGCCCGCGGGACCCAGGAACGCTCCTCAATGCCATAGCCCTCCCAGTCCACAAGATACTGCAGGCCACGGCCCCGGCGCCTGACGTCCATAATCCGAGACACGGAGAAGGCCGGACGGCCAGCGACGACCCGGGCGGGCGGAGGGGGTCCGGAAGGAAG